GGGGGGGGGGCTTAAGGCCCAATAGAGGAATAGTAGGTAGATTTTTAAAATCCTACTTCTGGAGTATTGGTTAAAGATCTTTTCCTAAGTTGGTTGGAGCAACTTATGGCTGAGAGAAGACAAAACACTGAGAAAATGGAGGATGTTGCCCATATTCAGTACCCTGTATTAGCCAAGAGTCCAACCTAGCTCCCCAGAACTAATTGAATAAATCAATGATCTTGACTACATTTATGGTCAAAGGGGTTTAGTTATATTATAATCTTTAACATAAATTATCACTTCCTAAAGCTTTATGTTGGAATAGATATTCTGAAGTAATTTAAGATTATTAGATACATCTTTTTTTCAAATCTTGAAGACTAACATATGAAACTACAAAAATCTCTTCAACAGATGGATAAGATGTATGAGAATGATACCAACTACAATCATACAGAAATCAAAGGATACACGTAAGTAATCAGTGTAATGCTGTAGTAATTATGTCTATCACTTTACTCTCAAGTTCACATTTTCATTTTCTTGAACCACTGTTTTCCCACTTAATCTAGCTATTGTTGTTAATGTCTCTTGCTTTGAGGTGACTTTCATTTTACATCACTTTGTTTGGACTGTCACCAAAATATTCCAAAGGAAATTTACCCCTAATTTTTTTACATCTCTTCATTTGCACTGTCACCCAAATATTCCAAAGGAATTTTACCCCTAATTTTACATCTCTTTATTTGGACTGTCACCAAAATATTCCAAGGGAAATTTACCCCAAATTTTACATCTCTTTATTTGGACTGTCGCCCAAATATGCTTAATAGATTTACTTACGTTAAGATATATCTCCATCCTTATGCAATTAACCAGCATGATCTGTTGAAACTTCTCACATAGGATATCAAATATATACTGCGAATATAGTTTTTGTGCCCATCATTTACATTACATTAGCTATAATATGCCAGTGGTGTAGCATCATTTTTAGCTCACCTGGCCCGAAGGTGGTGGTGATTCAAAATTGTACAAATGGTGGGGCTGACTCCCCAGGGGGCTAAGGGGCGGGGCCAAAAAGGGGCAATTTGGCTATATTGCTACAAACGACTTCTTCTGTAGAACTGTGCACTGGATATCAATCATATTTGATCAAAAGCATTCCTGGGAGGCAGAGATTCAAAATTGTACAAATGGTGTGGCTGACCCCCCAGGGGGCTGAGGGGCAGGGCCAAAAAGGGTATTCGGCTATGCTGCTTTAAGTGACTTCTTCTCTGGAACTAAGTGATGGATATCAACTTTATTTGACTGGAAGCATCTCTAGGTGGTGGAGATTCAAAATTGTACATATGGTGGGGCTGACCCCCGGGGCTAAGGGTAGGGGCCAATAAAATGTATTACTTGGAAATGGTTGAGATCCCCACCATATAACCATATATACATACAATTGCTGAGTATAAAGAGAAAAATGCACATTTGCTTCCAGGATGTCCCTAGGGTCTGGCCCCACCCTTGGAGACATAGTCCCTGGGCCATAACTTTAAAACGGTTGAGATCCCCACCCCAAAATTATATATACAAATGCTGGGCATAAAAAGACGAATGCAATCATGATATCATAATAGACCCTGGGGTCTGACCAAACCCCTAGGGACCTAGTTTCTTAGTCACAGCTTGGAAACAGTTGAGAGCCCCACCCTATAACCGTATATATACAATTGCTGAGTATAAAGAGATGATTGCACATATGCTTCCAGGTTGGCCTTGGGGACTGCCCCACCCTTGGAGACTTAACCCCTGGGTCATAACTTTGAAATGGTTAATATCCCCACCCCAAAACTATATATACAATTGTTGGGCATAAAGAGACGAATGCAGTCATGACATTAGAATTGATCCCAGGGTCTGCCCCACCCTTGCAGACTTGGCCCCTGGGTCATAACTTTGAAACGGTTGAGATCCCCACCCCAAAACTATATATACAAATGCTTGGCAAAAAGAGACAAATGCAGTCACGATATTAGAATTGATCCTGGGGTCTGGCCACAACTCTAGGGACCTAGTTTCTGAGTCAAAGCTTGGAAACAGTTGAGATCCCCACCCCATAACCATACATAAAATTGCTGGGCATGAAAAATCTAATATAGCTATGCTACAAGGATTGGCCTTGTGGTCTGGCATATTCCCTTGATCTCATTTGGAGAATAGTTTGCCATGATTGCTTAGGTATCCAGGTGAGCGATACAGGCCCTCTGGGCCTCTTGTTTTATGAAATATCTGCACATGAAAAAGTAAGCGTTAAGCAGTGAACTAATAGTGATCAATACAACTCATTCCACAGATTACAAAATACACTTGGCAGAATAAGCTACTTATTGATCATAAGGTTTACTATCATTCCTTGACCTATGTCTGAGTTTAAGGATCTCTATACCAATGCTAAAATACTAACCATGTGTTGGAAACTGCTCCTTTTCTGACACGGCTCTTGCTTTGATAAATCATTTCTGAAAAGAAAACCATACCTTGCAGGACTTTTACAAAAATCACAGCTGAAATAAAGTTTAAACAACCGATTCACAACAATAGTGTTCTTGGTGTAAAAACTCAGTAGAGGGACAAGGATCGGTAAGTAATTGTTTCGATAGCAAAAAGATTTGCCTGTTCAATCATTTTCTTCTGCTGCTATATGTTGACCCATATTTGTCATTATGTGTGCAGACTATTGCTAAGTGGCAAATCCAATATTCAATCATAGGTTCCTTTTTTCCTTTTTTTCAGAAATGGCAGTATCAATGTGAACATGGTTATCGTATTCAACACAATCACGGTCATTGTCGACAATGATGATAATGATACTGACGATGGAAATGGGACTGCGGCTGCCGCGACTATCAATGCTGTATCAGTTAGCCAATTCATTACAGAGAGAGCATTTGTCTTGTCCGTTGTGATTAACATGACTATCATCACTGATGACATTGTGGTGGAACAGTCAATAGGTAAAGTTAAAACCGCAGGGTAGTTGATACAAAGCTTCTTTTCTGGAATGAAAACTTTGAAATATGAAAACATCAAATGCCTTCAGTAATTTCTAGTTTATTTATTTATACTATTCTGATGCAATAAATTATTTCAATTATTCTGCTATTACTAGGTCTAGTGAGAACATTTCATTCTTGCATCTAAAATTTCTTAAACCTAGGATGTAATATCAAAACTGTTTATGTTTTATATAAAGTATCAGAAGATAGATATTATTTGTACATTACCCTATTCAAAAAGGAAGACAATATTGTCTTCAACAAAGTCTTGAAAAATATATTATGTTATTCAATAGATTAATAATCACATTGCCATATATAGAAGATGGGAGCATTATTTATATTTGTTGAAGTCCCTATCTTCAAAGATTTGATTTTCATCTTGCAGAGGTGAAACTGGTGGCCAGACGAAGAACAACTACTGCGATCACCACTACACCAAGTATGACACCTTCTACCCTTAAGCTCACTACTTTTAAGTGTTATTAGTTTTCAGCCTGTTGAACCTGCTACCATAATACACATATTCTGCACTTATTTTACGGAAATACAGTACTGTTTCCAGTAAAATTTCACCGCATAACATGTGCACTCTGACGAAATTGCAGTTCTAGTTTAAGCATGGCTCAAATCACTTCTTCACAGTCCCATGGAAAACTTGAGAAAATTTTCCCTCTAAAGTCTGAAGAAAAGTACTTCCATTGTATATAGCAAATACCTCTTCTACTTAAATCTCAACTCAGTTAAACATCTTCCATTGAAATCTAAACATAAAACACTTCTTTTGAAATCACCGCATAATTATTTCTGCTGAAATGAAAGTACAATTTCTATTTAGAAACACTATCTTTTTTTGAAATTCTTATAAATGTGATGAAATTTGAATGAAAAACAACAAACTTTGATTTGTTGTTAACCAATGATCTGATATGACAGTATATTCCATACAATTCTGCATTTTACTCATGGCTGTTGAGTACCTTGCGGACTCGCAGCTATTAGGTATCCTTTGGAGGGGAAGCTCCAGCAATTTTCTGCAGAATATATGTAATGGATTGAAGGTTCTATTTTGCTGACCATGAAAATCCTGCTACATGTAGAAACATTACTGAGTCACATATTAAAATTACTGTAAACAAGTGATTATTAAACACAAACATCCGTGTTACCAGGATGGATTGTGGGTCTGTCCTCACCCCTGGGGCAATTCAGGCTCAATATAGGAAATTGGTCCATACCATAACTTGAAAACTGTTAAGATTGATCCCCATTCTCTAGAACTGTGTATTGTTATAAATTTTGTATTCTTTTTTCTTTTTTCTTTCTAAATATCTATAGGTACACCTGCTTTACAATGCATGATGAAGCAATGGCCAGATGACTGGACCTCAATTTGTGGTCCTGCTATCAACGAGATAATGCAAAATGGCACGGATCTCTGTGGGTAAGGAAATTTAATTACATTAGACAAATTATCTCTTATAAAGTTTTTTCATAAATAGATTTAGGTCTCAGACACCAGTTTCACAATCTCAAAAAGTGAAAGAAGATTATTTAAACACACTTGGATATTGACTGGTATATCTTGTCATGTGTTTCACATTTAACAATTATGGCATCCTAAACAATGAGAAATTTAGAAGGCCAAACATATGACTCAGAGATAAACATAATCTAGGGTTATTTAAACTCATTCCAAATTGTCTTCTTGACCATGACAATAATTTTTGACTTAAATTAATTTAGAAACTGAAACCCTTGGAATACAAATTATATACATGCGTCATGCATATATGTAGTTCAATGCAGATTTTAAAATTATCTTGAGATTAGAAAAGCAGTTTCTTCGAAATAAACAGTACAGATATTTCATATCAGTCAATGGTTCTTGGATGCAAGAAAACCTTCTTTGTAAGGAACAATATTCTCAATGAATATCAAAATGTAACACAGAGCAATATAGGCTATATGAACCACTTAATTAGAATCATCTGTTTTTCTAAATTAAGTGAAATGACATGTTGTATTACATGCAATAAGGTACGTTTTCCTTGCCTTTTTTCAGTGCCCATCAAGTGCTTGTTGGTTGTTTACAATACGTTTTGCGTCACGAACGAAATTGTACTGCACCAGCGATTGCTCAAACATTGACCACGATGCACACAACATTACCGTTCCCCACTGGAATGGCTTCTCATTGCCTTGGTTTGTATATAAATGCATACAATTTTCTTGTAACTTGACAATTATGGCAACTCTTATTTTTTTAATTTTCATCCCCAAAATGTAAAATCTTTCTTCTCTTTGTCATTATTCCTGAACTTCAGATTGAAGAGTATGTTGCAAAACAGTATACTACTGTAAAAGTGTAAATGATCATATTTCAGTTAATTTCTTGTTCAGTTCATGGTGTAAAAAGTAGGCTAGCCTAAGCATTTAATGGACGATGTATAATGAAGTACATTGTGAAGCATTGCCAACATTTAATTTTACATAGTGTGAATAGTTTTAATGAAAAAAAAATGAAATTTTCCACATACAATATGCCAGTCCTGTACTGGTTGTAAAGAACGGGTAAATATGGGTGGTAAACCAGCTCAGGAGAGAGAGAGAGATGAGTGATTAGTGTGGAGATGCTTGAGAGAAGGCTTTAGTAATGGGTGAGGGGAAGCTTGAAAGAGAAGGGCTAGGGATGGGTGTTAAGAAGCTTAAGAGAGATGGGTAATGGATTGGGTGTTGAAAAACTTGAGAAAGAAGGGTTGAGCATTGAGTGTTGAAAAGTGTGAGAGAGATGGGTGAGGAATTAGGGTTGAAAAGCTTGAGAAAGAGGGGTAAAGTGTTGGGTGTTGAAAGGCCTGAGAGATGGGTAAGTGATGGGTGTTGAGATACCTTTGAGATATTAGGGGAAGTGATGGGTGTTGAGATACCTTTGAGAGATTAGGGGAAGTGATGGGTGTTGAGATACCTTTGAGAGATTAGGGGAAGTTATGGGTGTTGAGATACCTTTGAGTGATTAGAGAAAGTTACGGGTGTTGAGATACCTTTGAGAGATTAGGGGAAGTGATGGGTGTTGAGATACCTTTGAGAGATTAGGGGAAGTGGTGGGTGTTGAGATACCTTTGAGAGATTAGGGGAAGTTATTGGTGTTGAGATACCTTTGAGAGATTAGGGGAAGTTATTGGTGTTGAGATACCTTTGAGAGAGTAGGGGAAGTTATGAGTGTTGAGATACCTTTGAGAGATTAGGGGAAGTTATGGGGGTTGAGATACCTTTGAGAGATTAGGGAAAGTTATGGGTGTTGAGATACCTCTGAGTGATTAGGGGAAGTGATGGGTGTTGAGATTCCTTTGAGAGATTAGGGGAAGTGATTGGTGTTGAGATACCTTTGAGAGATTAGGGGAAGTTATGGGTGCTGAGATACCTTTGAGAGATTAGGGGAAGTGATGAGTGTTGAGATACCTTTGAGAGATTAGGGGAAGTTATGGGTGCTGAGATACCTTTGAGAGATTAGGGGAAGTGATGAGTGTTGAGATACCTTTGAGAGATTAGGGGAAGTTATTGGTGTGGAGATACCTTTGAGAGATTAGGGGAAGTGATGGGGGTTGAGATACCTTTGAGAGATTAGGGGAAGTGATGAGTGTTGAGATACCTTTGAGAGATTAGGGGAAGTTATGGGTGCTGAGATACCTTTGAGAGATTAGGGGAAGTGATGAGTGTTGAGATACCTTTGAGAGATTAGGGGAAGTTATTGGTGTTGAGATACCTTTGAGAGATTAGGGGAAGTTATGGGGGTTGAGATACCTTTGAGAGATTAGGGAAAGTTATGGGTGTTGAGATACCTTTGAGAGATTAGGGGAAGTGATGGGTGTTGAGATACCTTTGAGAGATTAGGGGAAGTGATTGGTGTTGAGATACCTTTGAGAGATTAGGGAAAGTGATGGGTGTTGAGATACCTTTTGAGTGATTAGGGGAAGTGATGGGTGTTGAGATACCTTTGAGAGATTAGGGGAAGTGATTGGTGTTGAGATACCTTTGAGAGATTAGGGGAAGTTATTGGTGTTGAGATACCTTTGAGAGATTAGGGAAAGTTATGGGTGTTGAAAAACTTGAGAGATTAGGGGAAGTTATGGGTGTTGAGATACCTTTGAGAGATTAGGGGAAGTGATGGGTGTTGAGATACCTTTGAGAGATTAGGGGAAGTGATGGGTCTGTAGAAGCATGGGGAAATGTTGGGGTTTGATGAGAGAAGTGGAAGATTTGGAGATAATTTAGGGAAGGTTTTATTACAATGCTCTTCTTGTGCTTTTTTGCTCATCTGAATTTATTTTTAACTAAGAAATTTCTTCATTCTGCAGAAATTAAATTTACACATATAAGCACTGTGACATTTTTACACAAAGGTTTGAACAATGGTAAAGTATTAATAACAATATTATAAAATAATACAAACTTTCAATTTATCATAAATGTTCTCCTGCCATCTATAATATTAGTATTGAGGAAAAGACTTACAGAAAAGATGATAATAATGAATAATATCCCTGTAATGTTCCTTTAGCTGCTGCCCTAATTCAAACATAGCTACCGGTATTGATTGAGAAGTGTTGAACCTGTTTTAGGTAATAATACTGACATTGTCTTCCCGACACCTGCCTTAACAATGTTGGATTCAGTATGTCAGTATCCGCGTATGATTGAATTCGCCATGAGATATAATCTATGTGGAGCAAGAGCCCCAATGACGGAAGGCCTAAGCACAGCAGAAAAGTGCAAGTGAGTGGTTTGTGAGACACTTTTTACATGCCTGCCTGTGGGAAGTTTTATGGTATCATTATCTCTGTTCACGTGTCCAGTTATTTTCCTGTCCATCAAGTGTTAACAGTTCTAAATATTATTTCTGCTGCATAACTGCAGTGTTGAAGTCATCTACAATAAACTTTATCACTTTGTAGAACTTCACATGAAATTTAATTAGTTTCAATCAGTAATAAAAAAAGGATATTTGTGTTAAATAACAGACTTGGTGCTCTATTCAGGGACATATTGTTTAGCAAAAACAGGGGGATGTTGAAATACGCATGCTGGCTTTAAGCAGGTAAGGGAATTTGGTCATTAGTGGAATGTCTCGGACACCTAGGGATTGAGATCAAAGTGATAGATTGTAAATAAGATGTACTTAAAGAAATAGTAAAATGGAGTAAACACCGTCACAGACATTTTACATGCTGAGTATACAATTCCTTTCTTAATCTTCATCCATGTATCTTAAAAATTGAGACATACTTGTAAATTCAATCAAAACATGAAAGTTTACCAAAAACGGCAATTGAGGGGTCGCAGGACCCAAAATGTGGTTTCGTTTTAAAGGTCTTGTCAGGAAGAATTCCACATTCCAATTATGAAAGCCCAGTTTTGTACTGTTCAGAAGCTATGACAAAAGTTGCAGTTGCAGGCAGACAGATAAACAAACAATCAGATAAAAAAAAACAATGTTCCCTCAATCTTCAATCTCAGGGACACAGAAAAATCATATCTTATGTTAAAATTGTATAGAATATATTTATATGGTGTGAAAAACGTACTCACTATGTTTTTTAAAAGTGCATCGTAATGAGTTTGTTTAACGAAATTTGAAATAAAAAAAATAATTAATGAACTGTTGAGCTGATCCAAATTTTAATGCAGTAAAACTTTTGCTTTCAAATTGTGTTGACCTTAAGCTTGTCCCAGGTTTAATGAAATATCATGAATATATATTTTTTTTCAATGTGGGTGTTTTTTCAAAGTTCATTTTAACAATGCATGTCACCACAAGATACATGCATTAAACTTGTGGTCAATCCTAATTGTCCTCATTTACGACAATAAAAATATGTTTAAACTAAACCACAAGATAGAATTCACACTCACAGCAGGGAAATCTGTTATACAGGTATAACTGAAAGTACCTTTTTCTTCATATTTGCAGAACATATTGGACATCTACGACCTGTCTGATTTTCATGCTGTCAGATGACCCACTTGATAATTGCCCTGTGAAGGATTTCAGAAATGTTATCAGCAATGATGACTCGCTGAGAGATCTAACCGGAATCGACACAAGAATCTGTGATGGTAAGCTTACTGGTTCATAACACTGCAGTGAATTGAAGGTTTAATTTGTGTCCGTCCTTTATTTTATCCATCTGTCCATCCTTAAACCAATCTTGTTAGCACTATTTCTTAGAAGTTACTGAAGATATCTTTCTCAAATTAAGATGAAGGTTTCCCATGGTCTCTTATGCTATGCATATAAAAATTTAGGACTAATCAGAAACCAAGATGGATGCCTGTGAATTTTGAGAGTTAAAGTTTGTTAGCGCCATTTCTATGAAAGTATTGGAGGGATCGTTCTCAAATTTCACATGAGGGTTCCCCCATGGTCCATAGTTATGCATATTAATTTTTGGGACTGATAGGAAAACCAAAATGGCCTGAAAAATATCCTTTGTGACGAAAGCACTCCGATTAGACTTAGCCTTGGGGACCAACAAAGATTTGTCATTCTGGGTATGTTGTCGGACATTGACCAAATCAAAACATTTGAAGTCGGCAACAAATAACTATATCAAGGGGAACAGATAGTTGTGTATTAAAAGGTGGGAAAGTTTATACATGTAAGAAGATGAAGAATTTGTATAAAGATTTGTGTTTTCATGTATAAACAGTCCAAAATCTCATTTGAAGTAACATTACATATTCATTTATACAGCGATGCCATATCTATGTTATTAGTCTAACACAGGTTTTATTGTTATAAAAAAATTGGGTGATAATTAATGAGTCTCTTTACTTAAAAGTCATTTGAACTGAGGAAGGTGGGCTTACAGCTTAAGTTTCATTATAATGCTTATATATAGCTCTTCTGTTCATTCATTTGCAGTTTGATACTTTGAATGTATATTGTTTGGATGAAAAATACAATAAAGTTGAAAAAATTTGTTCTAGGATTTGGATTAAATAGAATCCATCCCTGATGTGAGGTATGGATAAGGTTATTCAAACCCTCGGGATAAAATAATGAGCAGGAGACCCAAGGCTTTGCCAAGGGTATTTTGCTCAATATTTTATCCTGAGGGTTTGAATAACCTTATCCTTACCTTTATATCATGGATGGATTCTATTTCTTGTTTATTACCTCAAACCCGTAAAAACAGCTGCTCTAAAGCTTCTAGTAAAGTTGTAAACTGTCTGCACATTTCTTATTTGCATATGAAGCCCAGATGGCAGTTGTTAGTGACGTCAGTGACCCTGACTGACCCCAAAACTTCATAAAATGACTTCACGAACAATAGCGTGACCCCGAAAGGTCACTATAATTCCCTTGCCAGTCTGCGCATGTAAGCGATCTAGACCCGTGGGTCGGATAGAATTTTCCAGCACTGCCGGAAATGCGGATATCTCGGTCTAGTATGCAAGAAATAGGTATCCATCTCTCTATCTTTGTCAATAATATAACTACTCGAAAAGTGTATTAGATGCGGTCTGATCCACTAGTACAGATTTTGCTTTTGTATATAATATCATGAAGTATTTTATTTTCAATTTTTAGGACTGCTTTCTAACATTGACGACTCTACCAAATGTACCAATGGACTGTATGGAGATGATGGGCTCAGCAGAGCATGTGGAATGCCGTTTTACTACCAGCTCAAGTTCTTTCACATAAGTCAGGCACTAAACTCTTGCTCGTAAGTGACTTTTGCATATGGCTATACTGGTAACAACAATGAAACATATCTAAATAACATGATTCCAAGTCAATTTTGTCAAAATATTGAATATCGAAATATAATTACAAGTTGGTAGCTATATACAACAGTGAAGTAACTAAGAAGTTCTAAAACAGTTTAGTTTAAAAGTTTTTAGGGCTATAATCAAGTTTCTTATGATTTCTTAATTCAACAGCTCATTAAATTGATGCTGACAATATTTACCAGACAGTACTATGATCTAGATGTTTTACTAGATTGCAGCACAATAAATAAACAAACCTTTATATTATTGTACTGTACAGTTCTTTGCCACCATAAACAAGATAACTGTGCTCATTTTCTTTGAGACAATACAGGATGATGTTCTGTTTAGTGGACTTGTAATGTTGTATGTATTGTACAAATAGCTCTCAGTAAACAGGATAACTGTGCTCATTTTCTCTGAGACAATACAGTATGATGTTCTGTTTAGTGGACTTGTAATGTTGTATGTATTGTACAAATAGCTCTCAGTAAACCATGTTTAAACCAAACTCTGGGGAAACAACGGAAATTATTGTGAATAGATTCATGTAGCACAACCGATATGACCAAGTATTAAACAAAACATAGCTGAATCGAGTAATTCTGGTACAAAACTAATTGTACATACGCTAACAGCGACATAGACATCAATTTGCATTGACAACTCAAACATATTTTGCATACCTTACTAGCCGTAAAAACATCTGCACATATAAACACTTATTGGTTGTGCTACATGAATCTTTTCACAATCCATACTTACCAACCTGAAGGAAATGTTTAGAAACAATGGAAATTAGTTCACTATTGACAAAATTTGAGTTTGATGCTCTAACAATGAACAAAAAATTGATATTTCTATATTCACCAAGAATTGGCATTAGTCTGTTCACTTCAACCATGTTTTACTGTAAATATGCAAAATGAAGACAGAAAAATTTGCAGATTGATAACTAGATGTTAACTTGTTAATTAATTAGAGATACATCTTTGATAGTTTGATGGACTAGAGGGCATGCCAGGTTAAAGTAACTGTTGTGAAAGCTATAGCCTTAATATCAAATCCTGGTGTTGGAAAAATTCTGACAGCACTAATTTTTACTTGACACCTGTGGAACAACTTTCATTTTTGTCTAGGTATGTGTCGGAAGCAGTGCGGTGCATTCAGTCTGAAGGTCACGGACACTGCTCTAGCTCAGAAGTCAAAACCGAACTGAAACAAATGGCTTCCGCTCTGGCAAAGCTTGATTCTACCTTAAATGCTGCAAATATTATCCAACATATAGGACAGTGTTCACGTAAGTTTTTTCATGAAAGGAATGGCTGATGTTTTTTGACCAAACTTAAAATGTGTTTTTGAAAACATTGCACACAAAATATTTTAATGAATAAAGAAAAAAAAAAATGAAACATTCACACAGATATAAAAGTTTCTTGTTTATTAATAAAAAAAATAAGTTAGTAAAAATTAGAGCCAGCTAGATGTCATTGATTCTATTTCTTATTTTTAGTTGAAAACCAAACCTTGGCAGATGTGTGTGATGATGGACCACAATTGATGTGGCGGTCATCAGCATGTATCATTCCTGTCTTGGAGGGAGAGAAAAGCTTCACAGACTTTGCTGGAGTATGCAGGTGAGCTTACAATATATTTGAATATTATTCTCATTCTTGTCACAACTGGAAGCTGACTTCAAACCAAGATAGTTAACTTGGTACAAAAATAATTATGATCTTTGTCAGAAGGGAATATAGTTTTAAATGTAACTGAGCAAAACTTTGAGGAAATTGAAATTATATTTCAATGATAATTAGAAGATATGTGCCGCGTCAAATCAAAATTAATGTTTTCCTTTCAAAAATCATCATTGGTAAAATTTAAGTTTCTCAGTAATTAAGCCTGGCAGAAAAAATGAGTGAACCATCATGTGATTTTTATTGCTTCGAATCATCTTAAAATGGCTGTATGATGGCATTTCAAAAATGGTTTAATTTTAAGAATTGTTAGCTCACCTGGCACGAAGTGCCAAGTGAGCTTATGCCGTGGCGCGGCGTCCGTCGTCCGTCCGTCCGTCCGTCCTCGTCCGTCAACTTTTCCTTTAAACAACTTCTTCTGAAGAACGGACAGGCCTAGAGTCATGATATTTGGCTGAAAGCTTCGTTGGTAGGAGCCCTACAAAGTTTGAGAACGAAAATGACCTTGACCTGTTTTCAAGGTCACAGGGGTCAAATATGTCAAAAACTTCAAACGACTTCTTCTGAAGAA